TTTCTTATTATTTAAATTTTCTTGCTTAATACCTTTCATGCTTCTGCCAACTTGCTTTGTAAATGTACAAATACATTAAATCCCTTCCATTAATCCTTTTATTCTTGTGTCATAGTCCTTAATTAAGCAGATCGTATCATGGAAATACTAAAGGTGCTTTCTCTGCGTCTCCCGCCGTATCTAATCGTGTTCATACAAACAGGCCATTCCTCTATGCTGCTTTTTGTAGTACAGCTCTATGATTCTAGGATCCATATTCTTTGAAGTTCTTTTTCTTTTGTTCTTACTTTTTTACATTGTGTATCAAATAACTGTTATGACACTGATGTTTTTCTCAGGCATAAATTAAAGAAAATTTACTTGCTGAAGCGAAGCAGCAAAAACAAGCAAACAAAAAAAAAAGCTAAAATTGGTTTCGGATCACACTTGCTTCTCGATAAAGTGACGCACATCTTCATCGCATTTTGCTATCTGCGTAGCATTTTACCAATCAGGTAGTGATACATTTGAGTCTTTGCTCTGAAAGAGGAATAACCTAGTAGTCAGGTTCTGTCCAAACAGACGTTTCTCCTGCAATCATTAACAAAACAGAAACCTGTTTTCCCACTAACAGCGTTTATGGGCTAGAGGCAGCTGTCTAGTATTGGGCTGATGTCATTCAGTCACTTGTTTAAACAATGACTTCACTGTGTGGGTTGCATAATAGAAACTGCAGTGTCCTTATTTGAGGCTGAGGTTGCCATTTGTATGTGTGGGTGTGTGTGTGTGGGCATGTATATATTACATTGTGGGGACCAAATGTCCCCACCATGTGATAAAAACCTGTTATTTTGACTTTGTGGGATCATTTTTCCAGTCGCCACAAGGGAAAACATAATTTTATAAAAATCTGTCACTTAAGTCAGAAAACTAAAAATGCCAAACGTCTTGTATTTTGTTTGGTTACTTATGGTTAGGGTTAGGGCTGGGTAGGAGTTAAGGTCGTCATTGTTAGGATTAGTGTTTTTCACATAGAAATGAATGGACGGTCCCCACAAAGATGTGAATTCAAACGTGTATGTGTATTAATAATGGAGTAGTTTTGTCAACTCATTTGTGTTCGAAATATGTTCATGTCTCCATGTTTACATTAGCAGAGGAGGAAAAAAAAGCAAACACTGACCCCGTATGGGCGAGTCGGCGTGTTGGGGGAGGGGTCTCTTACTTTAACTTTTATTAAGTAACGGCTTTTTTTGTTTGTTTGTATCTTCTTCTTCTTCTAAGCATGTTTGGACCTGGCCAGTACTTGGATGGGAGACCATCCTGTGGTCTGTGTGGATCCCAATGCCCCAGTGCAGAGATGGGGACACTGTGCTGTAAAAATGGTGCCGTCCTTTGGATGAGACATAAAACTGAAGTCCTGACTCTCTGAGGTCATAAAAAATCCCTGGGCATTTTTCCAAAGAGCAGGGATGGTATCCTGATGTTCTGGCTAAAATTGCCCACTGTGGCCCTATCAGATCTGGCTCCCTAATCATCCCCTATATCTAACTGGTGAATCCTCTCCTGCCCCGTCACCACCTTAGCTACTGTGTGGTGAGTGTTGCATGATCCGCGTGGGGGCTACACAGTGGTGGTGGTTGAAGTGACTCCCCATTGGTTCTGTAAAGCGCTTTGGGTGTCTTGAAAACCACTCTATAAATGTAACATTCATTAATATATATACAGTATAGTTTATGAAGACACCCCAATAAGTATTTTTTTTAGTATTTCTATTCTCTTCAATAAGCGTATATTTATGGGTGAACATGAAAAAAGAACTGGCTGCATGAAATAAGCATTAAAATTGAAGTTTCCTTTGTTGGAACTGGAAGCAGAAAAGGGACGTTTATATAATGGTTCCGTTTATATAGTTGCCCCTCAGTGTCTGCGGGCCATTGGTTCCAGGACCCACAGATACCAAACACCACGGTGCTCAAGACCTGGCCTAGTATTTGCATGTAACCTACACACATCCTCCTGTTCACTTTGAATCATCTCTACATTACGTATAATACATAATGCAATGTAAATGCTATGTAAATAGTTGTCATGCTGTATTTTTCAGTGAATAATGACAAGAAAAGTCTGTACATGTTCAGTACAGATACAACCATTATAGTACAATAGAAAATGTAATTATACACAGAGAAAACATTAATTAATTCTCTGTCAACCTGCACATTGCTTCATTTGCGTGGATTCAGCTTAGTGCTTGTGGAGAATTACAGTTTTGCTTTTTGAAATTTCTGGATAATTTTTTTCCCCACAAAAGTTTTCCATTCATGGTTGTTTAAATATACGGATGCAGATCCTGTGGATATGGTCGGACTAACTGTATAAAGGTTGACATGGTCAAAGGTGGTTTGAGCAGAAGGTCGGGTGATTGTCTTCTCCTCCTGGTCTGCCTGGCCTTTCCAATCCTATCTCAGTAAGTCTGTCATTTGTCATGTGTTTGCATTGTTTGCTAATTTCAACCTGTTGTGCTAATCCACACTCTTAATTGCCTGATTACCAAAAGATCCTGGCAAGCATATGTAACTGTGAGACAACATATGTTCTTCCTCCTGGTGACCTGAAGATCAAGTGTTTTACATACAGCAGGCTTTGTGTCAGCTGCGGAGCCTGCTTGTTAACAAGCACTCTGCTGGCAAACTGAAAGCTGCGTGTAGCAAACTGCTTTTTTAACTGTAAAAGCCATGCTGCTAAATGCCTGGTTAGAGTGTCTTCTGATTCAGTCAGAAACTGCAGAATGACAGCTGGTGACTTACAGGAGGGGTCATTCTAAGATGCTATAAAGCTTGTTGAGGCAACAGCTCAAGGGAATAGATTCCCTTTGTTCAGATAAGATTCAGTCTCCTCCGCTGTGTTTTAAAAGTCCGCCCTCTCCCATTTTTCCCTGGGGCAAGTCCAGCACCCAGGCTGTGAGGCTGCTCAGTCCTTTCGGCTGGCTTCCGTCGTCCTTCATTTTCTGTGCACTACGTTGGCGATTAAATAGTCAAGGCCGCTATCCATTCCTAAAGAAGGGGAGGCCCTTTAGAGTGTGGTGTTTGTCAGACAATAATTTATTCAGTAGCACCTATCCTCTAATTATTTGCAAAACAAAGGGAGGACAACAAGGGCCTCAGGGCTGGGTGGATTTTAAATCAGCTAGACTTGGCAGGGGTCTCAACTTGGGGCAATAACAACATCGTCTATGAAGACATACTTAACATCTTTGAGTTGGATTACTTTAATGGTAATGTAAGGTATTTGATTTGTGGAATATTGATCTGCTTGTCATCTGCCAAGCACATAAATACACACACATAGCTGCAGAAATAAACCTTACTTCTGCATCAGTGATCATGTGTGCAAGCGGACACCAGTCTCTGCTGCCTGATCCAGTTCTCTGCCGCTCAGCAATTGCCAAAGTGACTTAATGTTCTTGTTATGGCACCTATATGGAATATCTTTGTACCTACTTTTCTTTAAACATAATGTGCTTCATTGGATTATTTTACTCCTCCTTAGCTGATCTGCTTGCCATTGTGTTAAAATGTTAAAAACCAAGCATAACACCCACTTAATGTGCAATTCGCTAAACGTATAAAGTTATATATATTTTTTAAATCTTGGAATAAAGAATTTAGTCTGTTTTTATATTCTGTCACATACCTCCCAAACCAGATCGTGTCTCACATCATCACCAGGCTACCTTGACAGGAAACCTCAGTTTTGCTCCGTTGGTGAAAAGATTCGTTTATTCCAGATTGTATCATGGCCCGACTCTTCTGAGCCAGTCTATTTTTAGATTTCTACTCTCATGGCTAATCTCAATGTAAACTGTCATGTAGTGTTAAGCTGTCTACGGAGATTCCGGCATCCCACCGAGATCCAGACGCTGCAACAATCATTATTTTATATATATAGACAATTTTTATTAAAATCTTTAGGAAATACTGTACCGATTCTACATGATGCGCTCATCTCTAGAGGAAGTTTTCAAGGCATGTCCAACATCGGTTAAAAGCAGTACATTTTGTGTCTTCTGTTTCATTTTAAGAAGTGTTGATTGCTGTTATGTATTGCTGGGGGGCATTCATGTTTCTATATCAGCCTCTTTCTTATTATGGATTCTATTTAAGGGTATGTAAGGCTCGCATGACACCAGAATAATCAAGTCTGGAATTCCTTGCAGTCTTATTCTGGAATTCGATATTAAGCACTGATTGACAAGAGAACTAATTTGATATGTAACTCCAAATAAAAATGAGTCTGTACTTGTTTGTCTGACTAAAGATTGGGATTGATTCCCCATCTTCAAATATTATCTTAATAATTAGATGTAGCAGTTTATCATGGTGTTTAGAAAGGAAGGAGTCGTTCCCACCAGATAACTATGGTGATAATAGGCAGAAAGAAAAACACAGGCTTTTCCAGCAAGCAAAAGCTTGCAAAGGCATAAGCAGAGCACATATGTCAGCTTAATGTACAACCTGTGTATGTACTGTACAGCAGGGTTGGTTAACACAGTGTTTCCCAGCCCAGTCCTTGGGGACCCCCAGACAGTCCACGCTTTGCCAGAAAGGAGCGAAAATGTGGGCTGTCCCCTAGGAACGGGCTGGGAAACACTGCCTTAGCATACAGTGAGTTTTTGATGTTGTGTTTGTAAATGAGCCTTCGCAGTGGGTGCTGGAGTGCGATGATGCGCTCGTTGTCTATGTCGTCCTATGCAGGAGTCAGGTTGTGATGATTTGCCACGTATGGACTACAGCTAGCATTTTGTTGACCCAGCTTTGTACTCTGTTATGCAAAAAATAAATCGCTTTTGCTAATTTTGATTGGCACTGCACACTGTGACTGTTGGTGCCAGTCAGGTACCTTGCAGCTGCATGCAGAAGACTTTCCCTCTGGGCTCAATGAAGCATATCTTATCTTATTCGGTCTAAGCATTTTTTTGTTTGATTGTTTTAATTGTCGGTTTCTTGGTTTTCTTTCAGGATCAAATGGCCAGATGGTCCAGATGGATGCCATAAAGTCAGGATATGTGGGCTCTCAGGTTGAGCTCCATTGCCTGTTCATCAACAACAATCCTGCAGTGAAGATCTCTCAGGTTACGTGGCAGAAGTTTCTCAATGGCACCAAGCAGAACGTGGCCATCGCCAATCCCACCATGGGTGTGTCAGTGCTGAATCCATTCAAGGAACGTGTGTCCTTCAAGCTACCAGCTGTCCAGGAGAAAATACCATCGCTGGAAGACACCACCATTGTGTTCTCCAACCTACAGTTGTCAGATGAGGCTGCCTACATTTGCGAGTATACCACCTTTCCTGCAGGCAACCGTGAAAACATGGTCAACCTCACTGTCTTTGGTAGGCAAAGCATTATGATCTCTGCAACCTCACTGTCTTTGATAGGCCATAGCATTATGATCACTGAAGTCTCACTATCTTTGGTAGGCCATAGCATTACGATCACTGCAACCTCACTGTCTTTGGTAGAGCAAAGCATTACGATCTCTGCAACCTCACTGTCTTTGGTAGACCATAGCATTACGATCTCTGCAACCTCACTGTCTTTGGTAGACCATAGCATTACGATNGCATTACGATCTCTGCAACCTCACTGTCTTTGGTAGACCATAGCATTACGATCTCTGCAACCTCACTGTCTTTGGTAGACCATAGCATTACGATCACTACAGCTTCATCCATTTCTTGACTGATTTGAGTGAGTATTTGAATTGGTTTATTGAGGCTGAAGTTGTGTATAGCAGTAACAAATACAAACGTTTAATGTACAATAACCTTAATTTGAATTAAATTTGTATGTGCATAATTCTAACTGGTGTTAGTAGAGTAGAAGTTATCCTTGGACAATGTAATTCTAGCATTTTAGTTATTGTTAGTAAGGATAAGGATTAATAGGTACAGTTATTTAGAAAGGTTCCATCCTTTGGAGGAAAGAGGACCTGGAAATTATGCGGGATCTCAGACATCTGCATGCACAATGAGTGCCCTGATGAAGACAGTTTAGTGATTTTCTGCAGTAGCATGGATAGATAAAACATATTAGAATTTGCACATTATGTTCTTGAATAATTATAACCCTGCATTTTGAGGGATTATTTGCTATGCACCCTCAGAAACACAGCAGGAAATGTTGCCTTTTTAAATAATATACTGGAAGCCTCTCAGGGAAGGTGGATCATTGTCCTGCTCCTTCTGACTGTTAAAAACAGTTCTATGCTGCAATTTGCAAAATATATTTTTAGCACCGCTAAAGATGGCATCCTGTCTTTCATATGCGTCTTAAATGCTATAACTAATAATTCAGCGCTGTGCCAAAGTCTTATTAGGCAGGCAAAGAAAATTATGTTTAAACGATTTTCATGTTGGTGTAAAACTATAATTTTATGTCTGTCAAAGTGTGTCAGCCCTCTGCTAAAGTTACCTCAGTAACTATCCAATGCACCCATTTATTTACTGATTTTAAAAATTAATTGAGCTGGTGGTGAAATTTAACAAAAACATGGAATGGCTGAGGTGCCCCTGAGGAGAGGCTTGGGAACTGAAGCCGTGTTCATCTAGCCATCCAGCAGGATATCAGTAACTTTTTAGATAAATTCTTGTTAGTTTTTATCATTTTACTCTTAATGTTCTTCATATTTTCTACTGTTAAATTGTGCTTTTTTTGAGACAATACAGATGCTCCTCACTTAGCGACCGAGTTCCATTCCGGCAGCTAAGTGATTAAACAAAGTGGTCGAGGAACTGCCCCTTACCAATATCTCAAACATACTGCACTGGTAGTAGGTTTATGTCAACCATCTTTAGATATTGTTTTAATGCACCATTTATAAATTTTTTTGTATGTTTATGAATGTTTATACAGTAGTGTACTGTATACTGTAATAAACTAAAACAGCACATAGAAGATAAATAAGTCACTTGCACATATAAACTAAGACAGGAAGCAAGTAAAAACTTACAGCCATTGCTTTCGAAGACGTAAGAAAAGTGTAAGACGCAGTTTAACCTTCCGCACGTCTGTGTTTTCCGCGCTACTGGAGGTTCCCGGTCCCACACTGCAAAGCAAATGCATCAAACTAAAGGCAACGGTTACGGCATATCAAAATAAAGGTCAATTACCGCAAATAATATACAACCCACATAAATGAGAGAGCAGAACAAACAGGATTGAACAGAAACACCACACTGCCATTTCCACGGCCAAAGATCTCGTACAGCATCCAATACCGGCTGGCTGGAGAGCTGGTCCTTAGTCCGGGTGGTTGGTAAACAGGTAGGTTAAGTGAGGAGTGTCTGTATACAAATACAGTTTTTTTTTTAGCAATTTATTTGACTACTTAAGACTTTTACACAGTACTTACATGAAAACTGGAAAATGTTTCTATGAGTTGTTTTTTTTAAACTACTGCCGGTTCATAGGCTACATGCCATGAACTGTAAAATGAGCATCTTACGGCCCGAAAGACAGGGACTTTACTGTCGAGTTATTACAAGTCCTTCTGCATTACTCTTTACAAAGATACTTTACCTTGAGGGTCCATGATTTTTTTTCTATAAAAAAAGTGTAATAAGAGTAATAAAGCATTTCGGCTAACTCGTCTTCCTTTTGTGTGTTCTAGCCCGCCCTATGATCCAAATGATTCAGACTGCCCTAACAATAGTTGCACAGCCTTCCAGTCCGAAGGTGAGTGTAGCTACCTGCCTGGCAGCCAATGGGAAGCCCCCAGGAGTGGTTACCTGGGAAACGACACTTAAGGGTGAGCCGCGCACGGAGGAGATTCCCCATTCCAATGGGACAGTGACTGTGCGCAGTGACTACTTGGTGATTCCCAGTCGAGAGATGCACAAGCAGAAGCTTACCTGCGTCGTTACGTACAACAACGACACCACCATAGACACCATCATGCTTAACGTTCAGTGTAAGTGTTACTCCAAGCCTCCTCCTACGTGTTAAGGCATGCTGACTCAACACATTTTTCAAAGCACTGCTACAGTATTAATTATTAAGAATTATCCAAATGTTTGATTCAAGTAATTTATGTATTACATTGTGGATTAATGTAAGTTGACCCTGTCATACCTATTACCAAGGTTAACATAATTAAAATGTATTCAGAGGAGCAATATATTATAAAAAAAAAACTTACATATTTGTTTTATATCTTTTTTCTTTTATGTATCTTGTTTTTAGTTTTCAGGAAATACAAACAAACTTCCTTAAATAATCAGAACGTTATGCTCAAACAAAAAGTGTGCATATGTCAGCGAGTATGTAAGTAAATCTGACCCAGACACCCCGACTCTTTTACAGATAAACCAGAGGTTAAAATTGTGGGTTTTGATGGCAACTGGTACCTTAACCGACCAGATAAGCTGGGACTGACCTGCAAGACTGAAGCAAATCCCCCTGTAACTCATTTCGAGTGGAAGCTGTGAGTGTTCTTTAATACATATACAAAAAACTATATGTAGTGCATTTATTTAAAGTAATAATATTAATACTAATTGTGGTAGAATTTTGCAAACTCATTTTTAAAATTCAAGTGGTTAAAATTGTAAAACCAAATATGTATTAAATGAAGAGATGACACTATAAAAATTGCAAGAACGGTTACAGTACATTTCTGTCCTCCTGATAAGTTAATAGGTATATAGTATATAAGTAAAGACCTCTGCAACTTCTCTCATCACGAACCGCCGCTTTTGTTATTTTCAAGATACATATTCAGTAATGACCTACTTTGCGATTTGACTCAAATTAACCCAGAATTACAAAGTATGTCCGATAAAGAAACAAAAAAATAATCTCTTTGCTGCAGACCCGTTATGGTGGTTATTGAATGAATTTAGAAATTTGCGGTTCAGCAGTGTTTATCATACTGCATTATATGGATTGTGCCAGTGTAACAAAGAGACAGGCTATTGGGATGATTTTACTCTTTTAATGCAAGTGGATATTTTTAGCAAAGCAATTGATGCTCTAGGGTAAAATATCAGGATATTAACTGATGATCTTTTGGATACAAAATAAGTGTCTTCATGATTGGTGCAATTCAGTACTATGAATTTAAATTGCGAAGCAGTGATTATACACTATAAAGTCATACCAGGATATGTAGGCCATCTGAGAATCAGCTCAGATGTTCACCTCGGACCTCCATCTCATACAAAGCTATGCCCACTCTGATTCAGAATGGGTGAAGTTCCGGAATTAGAGAAACTCGGAATGTTTGTAGCTAAAAATGGAGGGTCAGTGTCGGTGGGAGGAGCGTCAGGAGTTAAGCTAACTGCAGATCTGTGCTGGTGCGATGGGATGAGATAAGCAGGGACAGAGGGAGAGAGAAAGGCAAAGGCTGATGGTGATCAGGGACAGCAAGGGCATGGTGCTGACAGATAGGGGAGGATGGCCATCTCAACAATGGACATAAGACACCAAATCTGTTGTGACACTTCCCCTCAGCTCTTGTTTCAAGGTCATCGTGGGGCTGTTCAGTGACAGTTCAAACAGGCACAAGCACACAAACACATCAACGTCAAATTATTGGGACATTTAACCGCGGAGACTACACACATTGAAGATTCTCGTGTTGGAAATCATTTAGAAATTCCAGTTGGATGTCACTAAGACAAAGTGGAGCATGTCTGTTTAATGGTAAATATCGTATAAAGCGTTCTACATGTACCAGTAGCATTCAATGTAGGAAATATTATAAAAAAAAATAGTAATTAATTTTATAATGTGTCATAAAACGAGTTCATTTAAAAAATGCAAGTTATTAAAATTGAAATCGAAATTCTCGGTGTTCCATTTTACGATTTAATATATAAAATTATGCTTCGCAAACACTATTTAATCAACAAGACTAAAACAAGAAATTGGAACTAAGACTAATAACATTTTTCCTGACTAAGAGTATAACTATACCATCAGTTTCTAGAGACAACATGCGTATTGCGCTATGAATGGAAGTGTCACCATACTGTACGTAGGTGCGTGGTATTTTCAGAAGTTATTGCAATTGAGAGATGCAATACAAAGCATTTAAAATTGTGGACTGATATGTAGCACTTTTGCATGTTTTATATAAAATAACAGTGCGGTTGAAATTTAAGGTGAGCAGTAGGGATTTATTATTATTGACAGTTTATGAAAATGAAAAGGCAGCCGTATGAAGGTGCTGATCTGGACAATATATATAGTTCAATTATTGCTCTATGTTTAACATTTACAATAGCTTTGTCTTCTGTGTTGTATAATGTTGTTAGTATTACCATTACAATTATTGTTATTGTTAATACTACTATGAATAATAATAATAATTTTCTTGCATCTGGAGATAGGCTGTATGGAAAAGGTGAAAGTATTTGAAGAATAGAAAAAAGTGCTTTATTTTGCCTTATATTGGTCTTAAATACTTTCCCCTATGTAGCTTTAGCTGGCACTGTGGTTTTTCATAGGTATGGAGTACGCAAATGACTTTTTGTATCTGAAAGTGTCTGAAAAAGCATTCCTTAGTGAATTGGGTGAATTGTGAGAGGGACAGACACAGGAATACAGAGTTCAAAACACACTGCTCTTAAATTCCCCATGACTGCATTCATGTAGATTCAAAGGATACGTGGATAAGTATTTTTTAGAATTATGCAAACCTTCTGACCTGAAAATGTCATTTTTTTCCCTCTGAAATGCATTGTACCAGGGTGAGGTGGATGTTTTTTTTTCTTTCTTTCTCTTCAAAGAATTATCTTGGTCCATAGTTTCATATAGTTGTCATCTGTTATCAGACGGTCAAGTTTCGTTTCTTATTGTTTCAGCTTGAATGGCTCAATGCCCGCCGGAGTTGAGATTCTCAACAACACTTTGTCCTTAAAAGGGCCTGTCACATATGATCTGGCCGGCACATATGTGTGCCATGCTACCAACAGCATTGGAACAAGCTCTGGGCAAGTGGAAGTTAATGTCACAGGTAAGTCTGACTGGGGCTTACCTTGCTTATCTTTTATTGTAACATTTTCGTTTAATCTGCAGTTGTGCATTGGGCTGCTGGTGACTATGGTGATGACAGCTTGATCCATCTGTGCTTTAACTGAACTATTGAGTACATCGCAAATGAATTATGCAGGTGTCAGTCAAATTAGTTTAATTGTCAAATTAGTTTCCTTTGGAGACAAGTTTTTTTTTTAGCCTCAATTCAAGATGGGACAGGCAGAGTGATCGCACATGCATCTGGTGGGCTACACCTGACACAATGCACCATTGAATTTTTACTATGATGCGTGACAGGAGATTGCGTCGGTGGCCGTGAGCCTCCCTCATTTCCACATTAGAGCGGAGCGTGGCGGCTGTAGCCGAGAATCACGACAGCAAAGATCTGCACGAGAGCAGAGTGGTAGAATAAAGCTGTCCGAACCAAGAATAGAACAAAATATGCCTGCCAGAAACCAAGGACAATAACTGAAATGTTTGGAATGAAGAAAAGAAAAACATCTCAGTCTTAGCTCTTGTAATAGTTGTTGATATGTATCTGCATGAAGCAATGTCATTTGCATTGAGATTCCTTTAATACATTTTTTCAGCAAAAAGTCAATTAATTACACATATTTAAAATACCTATGAAATTGCGTTGCCATACATTTTCTTTCAATTTTTTAATGACTCACAAGCGAACCCTGCTCTTTAATTTTAATGTTCTCAATCCTAGAAATGATTTAAAATGGATGACCGTTCGGGGATGTTGGAGCTGTCGTGCCGTACGTTGGCCTGCTCGTTGATTCGACCCTAAATGAGAGCGCCCGCATGCTGGGTTTGGGGTAACGAGCCGCACGTTGGCCTGTTCGTTGATTCGACCCAAAATGAGAGCGCCCGCGTGCTGGGTTTGGGGTAACGAGCCGCACGTTGGCCTGTTCGTTGATTCGACCCTAAATGAGAGCGCCCGCATGCTGGGTTTGGGGTAACGAGCCGCACGTTGGCCTGCTCGTTGATTCGACCCTAAATGAGAGCGCCTGCGTGCTGGGTTTTGGGTAATGAGCCGCACATTGGCCTGTTCGTTGATTCGACCCTAAATGAGAGCGCCCGCATGCTGGGTTTTGGGTAACGAGCCGCACGTTGGCCTGTTCGTTGATTCGACCCTAAATAAGATCTCCCGCGTGCTGGGTTTTGGGTAACGAGCCGCACGTTGGCCTGTTCGTTGATTCGACCCTAAATGAGAGCGCCCGCGTGCTGGGTTTTGGGTAACGTGCTGCATGTTGGCTGCTTGTTGATTTCTGTTTCTGCTCTTTGGATGTTTCCTGGGCTCAGACCCAATTCAGCTACCATCTTTCGTTCTTGCATGTTGCTGCCTTTCATCTTCCTGGCCTCTTTCTGTAGCTGAGATAACGACAAAACCATGGAGTGGGTGAGATGGGAAATGAAAGGCATGAGAAAATAAGGCCCTTTCATGGGGATCTCTGCACAACTGATGGTTTTCTTCACTGATGGACTATTTCAGTACATTAATGGTTTCTCCTTAAAGTCATTTAAATGTAGTTTAGTGTTGTTTTGGTTTTATATTTCATATGAACTTTTAAAAATTTAATATGAATAAATACATTGTATCTATGTATTAACAGCTACCCAGTATCAACACAATCTTTATTGTGTGTGTGTGTGTGTGTGTGTGTGTGAGTGTTTGTATTTACCACATTGTAGGGACCAAATGTCCCCACGATGTCGTAAAACTTTTTTACCTTTTAGCTTTTTACTTTTTCAGGTCCACACAATATAAACCTCAATTTTATAAAAGTATGTGATGGCAATCAACAAACTAAAAATGCCAAAAGTCTTGTATTTTGTTTGGTTATGTATGGTTAAGGTTAGGGCTGGGTTGGGGTGAAGGTTGTCATAGTTAGGATTAGGGTTTTGCCCATAGAAATGAGTCCCCATAAAGATACAGATACTGAATCTGTGTGTGTGTGCGTGTGTGTGCATGTGTGTGTGTCTGGGTTTTGTGAATATTTGTGCTCATTCATTATTCAGCCCGTGAGCCTTTCTTGCAGTACTGAAGCTTCTGGAAATCAACATGTGTCACGTCCGCTATTGCTAATGGTTCTTCGTGCTGAACGGTCTCAATCAGCAGCAGAAATGAGCTCATAATTTCAGTGTGGCAGACTAAGTATCCTGCGTTCTCCTTATGCATGGCTCTTCTTTCTTCCTGTTTCTGCATTTCTGGGAAATTCGGTACAATGATGAAAAATAGAATACTGTCTTGGGAATTGTTTTGTTGTGGGGGAAGTCAAATTGTTTGTTTGTTTGTTTGTTTGTTTTTACCTGTACCTTTGGTTAGTTTATAAGTTAGAAATGGTCAGTAAAAAAAAGCAGAACAATTGCATGACTAATTTAGTCTCCATTCATCTCCAAATCTCATAGCTTGTAGACTGGTCAAGTAAGCCCACCAATTTCTGGTCAGTTTTTATCCTTTTTGTTACTTTCTTGTTAATCACATTCCCACGTTTTTGATTTATATTTCTACCTGCATGAATCACACATAACCTCAGGTATTAAATGTGAGATTTGTGTGAAGAGTACTGCAGAGTACCTACATCACCTACACGTGACAAATAAAACAGCTGATCACTGTTGCTGTGCTGCAGAGATTAAACATTTGCTGAGAGTCATGCGTCCTGCTGCTTCCAGGCCCAGAGAGACAGCAGCTGATTCACATTTACAGATTTAAGTAAGCGTTAAATAATCTGGTGCAGTTAAATCGGGTTCTATAGTTTGCCCAGATTAATCAGTATATGTGTTAAGAGATAAATCCTGGGATCTTTATGTAGATCTCTCTTTTATCTCCATAAGCAACAACAATTGAGGTATCAAACCCTAATGATTTGCATATACATTATATGGCTAGTCTAATGTTAATAAATAACAAATACAGAATACAATTATAATATTGTGGTTTACAATTAAAGCCAGCAAGTCCTTGTGAATGCCAAATTAAAGAATTTCCCACTTCCCATCAACTGTGGCAGGAGACATTGTGTCCCAATTTCTGTAAAGGGCAGATTAGCCTGGTAATTATTTTCAATTCATAAAAGTCAGTATTAATAACTGAGATTCATGAACCAAATTATTTTACTAATAACTGTAATTTTTTAATTATTATTATGGTGACCACCTTTTCCTTTATCTCTGCCAGCTTTCAGTTGCTTGGGTTCTAGAAATACAGCACAAAGTGACTTGAATTCCTAGAGTTATTTGCACTTGTCTTTAAATGGCTAATGGCCAATCTCAGGCTTAAGTCGTACAGAATACATGCTAAAAATCTAGTGGACGCTGAAGGTATGCGAGAGCTGCTGGTATAATGAAACAGCTGTACCATGCAGATGCCGGGTAAAAATAACAAAGTAATTCTTTATTTCTTTCCATTTGATTGACCGACATTAATAATTTTAAGCCAACATGAGTTTTTGACTTTTTTTGTTCAAGTTGGTTGGAGATCACTTGTGGGCCACAGATTTCATGTCTTGGCCATAGATTCAGACCAGATCTTTTACTGAGCAGCTGTAGGACTCTTACTTTGCTTTTCTGAAGCTACTGCAGGACCGCTTTGGCCTTGTTTGGCACCAGGCATTCCAGTCCTTAGTGCTGTAAAGTAACCAGAGAGCATGATGATGTCATGGCCAAGCTGGACTGCTGGGATGCGGTTTCCTGGGTGACGGCCCTTGCTGGCTCTGTGCCAAACACAGCTCTTCATCTTCACTTTTCCTTTCATGTGTCTACAAAACCCTTTCCCATTTTTTTTCTGGATCACTCACATGCTTTGTTATAAACACTAGGCAAGCTTTGATATGTTTTTTTTTTCCTTTTTTAAGCAATGACCTCCTCCTCCCCTCCCTACTATATACTGTTATACAGTATCCTGAAAATAATAAATGTTCATTCTCTTCCGTTTCATATTCTGGAAATGCACATTCTCCTCCATTGCAGCCTCTGAATTCTGCAGCGCTTTGAAAGTTGCTGTTGGCCTGCAGATTTCTTACCAGCATCCCTCTTTCCTGGGTTGGGAGGGTCAGCTCGATCTAAGCAGTGCTTTGTGTTGTATGACGTCATTCCCCTTTTTTGATGATGATGTCATAGGGAGACCCAGGGACTGTGATTTTTTTTATACCTGTCTCCTAGTTCTCTGATATGAAATTTCCTTGATCTTCCCTGACTGAGAGACCACACAGATACAGGTGCTTTTAACTTGAAATCTGTGATCATTGATCATGAGTCATATCACTGCACACTGGCATATGCCAGTCAACTAAATGCCTGGCTTGTTAGGAAAATTTTGTGCATCTAACTTAAGATTTGCCACAGTTGAAACAATCAAAATCTTTTTTCATATTGTGTAATTTAAAACTCATAGCTTGAAATCATTTTGAGTATTAATTTTTTTTTCTCAGTCCTGAATACTTTCTGAATACTTTTGCATAGCACTGTGCATATCTGTGTGTACCTGTGTGTGTGTGTGTATCTGTGTGTGTGTGTGTACAGTATGTATATTCACAAAAAATAGATGAATGCAGAATGAAAATTAAAAACCTTTACTGGCCTTCATAATGCAATGCTAAGTGAATTTTAAGTCAAAATGCGCTGACATTATTGCTGTAATGAATTGGTTTTCTGCATACATTATATCTAAAGACCTTGAGCTAACATGCCCTGCAGTAATATATGGATTGTACTGAATAATGTAAATTCTCTATAAATGTGGGTCTCCTAGAGCAGCCAAATATCGCAGGCAGGGAGGAGTTTTCTATCGAGCTGAGTCAAATCCTTTGCATCTGCTTGTGGCCTTCATGTCTGATATTAATAAAGGGGACGAGCAGAAGAATGCGAGTGAGTACGATGTGCACGAGCGCTGAAATGACTGGGATTACTAGAAATTCTCCTTTTTTGTGTGCATCAATTAGAGAAGCAATAGACACCTGACCCCATGTGATTACAGATAATGATAGTAACTGTTGCATCTGCTAGTTCTGTTTAGAAACCACGTCACACACAAAGCAATGGATATTTTCCTTCAAGAAATAAGTGTTTTTATAGTGATCATATTTAATTCAAACCATCCCGTTGTAGGTTATACTACAAAGACATAGCAATTCTGCGTATTGGAATGATCAATGTCACTGGAGTTTTTTTACATTGGACAAATGCCGCTCTTCCAACAAGGGCTTTAACATTTTGCCGCACCACTGAGTGAAATGTATGCCTACATCATCCAAGGTCTTTTCTCAATGTGTGTGACATGTAACAACAGAAGCTGACTCCCCTATGTTGGGCTGATCTGCTGATCTGCTGAGCTCCGCCCTGAGGAATTAGGCAGAAGATGATCCTGGAGGTTAATTGAATGGAATTAACCAATCACGTGACGGTACTTCTGTGGCGTGACGTTGTTGGCATAATGCAAACTGGAACTGCACATGCAGCTTTAGAGATTTACAGATTTTCCTCTTTGGCTGGTTGTCCAATCTCGTTCTGAACAACAGCCTTAAACCACTAAATATAGGGAGGGCAGATATTCAAGTTTGGCCCTGAAAGACAGTGGGTGCCATCAGAGATGATATTCATTTACACAATAAAATAAAATTAGATGGATAGATGGACAGACAGACAAGCAGACAGAACATTTGTTCTACTGAGCAAAATCACTTTGTTTCTCCCAAAGTTGAGCAGTAATCCATGTACTTCATTTCCCAACTGATCTTTTAAGGCTTGAGTTTGTATTTTTTTTGTACTTCTGTTTCTCTCCTGTTTCTGAAGTCATCCTATCATTCTCATTTCCTCTCAGCTCTTGCTTTGTTACCCCCACAGCTGAGGGACTTGATGCCATTGGTGAATTGCATATGGTGAAACTTATATGACTTGTAGAACAAAATTAATTATCTTCAGAGCACATACAAGACAATTATTCATTTATATTAACAAAATCCAACTTGTCCAGTAGGCACACTCTTCATTCTGTATTATTCAGATTGCAAACCTGAAGGTCAACTCAGCACCCGACTGCAGCAGGATTCAAAATGCATCAATTTTCTTGCAAGATTACAGGATCCATTACGGAAACTGAGAATCACATTTTAAGTGAATATAGATGTTATGATGAAATATCTCTCCGTAATGGCAAAGTAAGGAAAGAGCATGATCAAATATCCCCGGAGGTCATGTCAAAATCGGCCAAAAACAAAACACAACACACTAATACCGTATATTTTTGAGAATGAGAGGCAAGTGGAATTAATCAACATGTGAACTCTGGTCACCAAAATGCCCCCTCCCCCCACTTCTCATATCTCTTACATGCTCCTCCAGTTATGTTACTATGAAAAGTTGACGGACATATGCCTTTTGGGTCAATTTGACCCCAGGGTAGGTGGGAGAGATGCATATAATGAAATGAACCATAAGTGCTTTTATTCTGTGAAAAAAATTATAAACACAAGCCAGTAATGTATGTTGAAATGACATAATTGCTAGTAAACCTCATGGTAATACAGTTTCCTGCTGGTGACTTATACTCTTTCCAGGCAAATTGTTCATCCTTTATTTTGGCATAAATTAAACAGGCATGCTAGCTGTCGGCCTCATATGGAAACATTAAATCATTAATTTTTTTTGTAACAAAACTAAGAATGGAATCCTTTCAATGGTAATTTAAAGGCAAATGAGCATGTCTTTGCATGTTCTTTCATCCAGATCCTAACGGCTTATGCCATGTGCGTGACTGGACAGGGCTGCATGGTTAAAAATTGGAAAAAATCATAGCGTGCCATCCCTTTAATTAAAGGAGAAGACGCTGTTATGTGGGGACAATGCAATGAGAGTTCTGTTATGCACATTGTATCCAATGTGGAAAATTCCGGCATGTCTTTCTCATATATTTCTTGCAATTCTCTCTGCACTCAGGTTCATGTATGGTTTTGCGAGAATAACTTTATTTGGATAGTTAGGTCATAGTTGGATGGTTGTATTGCGGGAGGAGATGAGGTAAAGGGCTTATTAAAATATGGCAGGCAGTCCAGCTGTCGTTTACATGTGCCTCCTCAAAAATTGTGACCCATGCAATGGACCAGGCCTTTAGGGCCTTGGCTATGAAGTTAACTGTGAAATAGTCACTCAAAACACAAGACCCATTCATGAGAAGTGTGCATATCACATACAGGTGACATGAATACTATTTTTATAATTCAATATAGCTCTGAATTTAGTCAGGTTGTAGATATTCTTTTTCAGAGATTTCTTCAGAGATTTTTTTGTTAGTGCAGTTAAGGGACACCAGGAATCAATCGAGGGGATGTTTGATGGTTGGAAAGTTCTAGAATCTATTTAGACATTTTTTTTCACTTATGAAAACCTGAAACTGTGAAACCCTTGAATGTGTTGCCCATTTTCGATACTCTTATGCTTAAGGTTATTAAACCAGGAAAAGACTGGCAATGACAATGAATATGCTTCAATTTTGTATATGGGTTGGCGTCCATTGGACATTGTTTATTTTTCTTGTCTGTGCCACACAGCTTTCCTAGTTCAAAGTTGTGTGTGTGTGTGTGTGTGTGCGAGCGGGTTTACCTATCCTTATGGGGACACAATGTTAGCATTTTTCCCATTGAAATGAATGAGCGGTCCCCATAAGGATATGTGATAGAGGAATGTGAAATACACTAAATACTTTGTTTGCTTCAATAAGAATTCAAGAATGCTGGAAAGAATTGCTATGTGGTAAAATGGATAATGGTAAATAGTAATTGTCATAATTTTAGCATTTGAGAAATATTTTTCTTGTTGCTTTTTAGTAAAAGTGTTACACTTTCTCAGTATTTAGTCCTAAAAAAAGAGAACTGCATGATCAAATTATATGTGCTACATGTAAAAGTATTTCTTTAGGAAGATGTGACATTGAACTTCAGTTGTTTTCAATCTGCATGAATAATGACCCTACTTGCTTTGCCTACTATCTGGGGGGTTGGAGATTCGGCTTTTTATGTTGCTTTTCCCTCCCTTTAACCCTTGCACAATCCTTCCACCTGCACCCCCCAAAACCACCTCCCCTTGCACCAGAGCACTGATACACTTTCCCCTTCCATGTGTCTTTTCCTACCCAGAACTCCCTTACATCCCAAATGACCGGGTCTCGCAGGAGCGGCACAATTCAGGGCTCATCATTGGCGGTGCAGCCGGAGGAATCGTCGTCCTCCTGGTGGCCTTGATAATCCTCTTCGTCATTCTCCGGCGACGGCAACGCACCTTTAAGGGAGACTACAGTACCAAGAAGCACGTTTATGGTAATGGGTACAGCAAGCCAGGCGGATTGTCCGCTCATCCCACCCTCCCCAAGAACTTGCCGTACGGTGAGGACTCGGACGATGAGAAGAAGACAAGTCAGATGGGAGGCACAGGGCTCTACGAAAGAAGCGACCGGGTTTTCGACGATGATGACCTGAAGAGGCCGTATTTCACAGTAGACGAAAGCGAGAGTCACGAGTACGAAGAGAGGAGTCTAGCTTATCCATATGACCACGAAGTCGAGATTACGGATGACATGGTTTCCCAAACTGATGGCTCTGTAATTTCGAAGAAAGAATGGTATGTTTAGAGGCATGTGACACCAAACCTCCTTCCCTCCTTCTGCAACTGATCATCACCTCATTCTGTAGTCCTCCACTCCCATATTCCCTCTACATGCCCATTCCTTCAGCCTACGATCCAAACCCCCATAAAAAATAAACAATTTACATACTGAATGCAACTTCAACTGGAAAACAAATCACCGTGAAATTTTAATTCTTAAGATTAAAGAGAATATTCCAAAAAAAATATATCTACAAATAGACTGATGCTGGTTTACATTTTTTGGCCGCAAGATTTTCTGTGTGATACATATGACAATTTTACATGCAGTTCTTTAAGAAAAAACATTTGTGTCAATTATGTTTTAGATGAAAAGAAAAAAAAAACAAGGATTGCTTGGTGTACATTGTGAAAGTCCTACACTGGATGTACATTTTCCTTTTTATTATTGCACATATTATGTGTTATTTTTGTACATATTTGAATTTTTAGTGAGAGTGGAAATATGAATTTTATGACAGAGGTTATGGCCGGAGGGGGCAGTTTAAACGAGGCTGTGTCTCACGCAGCCCAATGGGAAGACCGTTACTTACACTCCTCGAAGCCTTTGACTGGATCAGAGCAGACGCCAGCATGATGCAGACCTGGAATCCTTTTTTTTTTGTTTGTTCTTTGCCTTCCTGTACAGTGAATGTATTGTAGCTTCTGTAAAAAATAATACAAAAGGAAAAGAGTGGTTTATTTCCAAAGATTCATAATCAGCATTATGAAAAGTGCTCAGATAAGCCATATAGGGGAGAAATCAGTTTACTTTCAATCCAGTCAGATCTGCATTGACCACTGTAAGGATGTAAGGTAATGAAAGATGAGGGAACATTTTTATTATTTTCTAATACATTATTATTATCATTATTATTGAATAGTATCCTGGCCTTTCTCAACCCAGATAAGCAGTTATGGAAAGTGGTTGGTTTCACGTCATATAACAATAAACGCTCATGTTTCATTCTTTGGCATCACCAGTGACCACCAGTTCCTTTTTCCCATTCCCAGTTCCGAGTCTCAGGCCTCTGCAGCTGTATGCAGTTGTGTTGCGACCTTTTTTCGTTTCCAAATACTGAATGACATATTGGATGGTGCTATCCACAAATGGTTTACACGATGAAAACTACGACAGAAGCTAAATTTTAATATGATATCTGAGAGAGGCAGTGGTTTGGAATGTTGTTCTAGAACATTCCGTCATCGTTTATTATTCATTTTTTATTATTAGACATAGATCTTTTTTTCTGCTGGAGTTCTGACAGTCGTTTCTATATAAAATCATTCAGGACGACATGCAGGGGAATTACCTAGTCCTCTACAGATGAGAAAAGCGAATGAGAGAATTCATCAGGCAGCAGAAACAGCATTAGAGTCCCACCCTGACTGCAATTGAGCCCGATATTGCACATTTTATAAGTTTTGTGTGAATGTCAGGCTAAATGGTGTGCACATTTTCATGTGACCATTAAGTATTCAGCAAATACAGCCAGTGGATACAGACACAATCGAGGATGATGTGAGATTTAACTTTATTTTTGATACTCAGTTTGCATTGTTCTTTTCACAGTCCCTCTTATCTGAACACTGTATTGTTAGCATGCGTTTCTGTGCATAGTCGTCCACATTAACATTAGTGGACACGAGTCAAGTAAAACAAGAAAAAGAAGAACTTTTGTTTTGTTCTGTTTGAGAAATTCGTTTTGTTTTTTGTCGCACAAATGTTACGGAAATCATTTTGTTTGTGAGTAGTATGATTGTGTGTGCCATGGAAAATGGCAAGTGAGAAATATTTTATAATGCTTTACTTCATAGTTCAGATAAAAAAATACATTTAACTCTAAAATTAAATTAGTCATTAAAATTAATTTTGGTACAGTGATCTTAGCTAGCTTTGTGAATTCCTCTGTAACATAAAGACAGTTAATAAAAGTAAACAGTATATATACTTGTACTGATTCATATTCTTTAGATTTTTACTTGTTGACGCAAACTGACACCACTACCAATGCTGTAAAATTTACATTTCAGCAAGATACTACACTGTTGCTTTCCATTGTAGATTAATTTCTAAAAATTTCAATTTATTATTTTTAAAATACTACTAATAATGTGAATGATGGAAAAGGTCATATTTCTGTTTTAGTCTTTTTTTATTTTATTTGTACTCTTTGGTGCGTCTTAAATGTAAAGCTAGATAAAACAAAATGACAATCTGTTTATGTGGTTGTTCATTTTTTGACATACAGATTTCACTGTGGCTTAAACGTTTAACCAACTTAAATTCGAACCAATGTCTGATTATGTAAAACATCCTGAATAGAAAGTGCAGTAGTAACAAAGGTTACTTTTAATAGAACAAAGGAAAAAGTGACATTCTTGGAATATTTGTTTCCATTTAGATCTGAAAGCTTGGTGTTACATGATACAGCTATAGTACCTCAACTATCAGCTTTCCCATAAAGACATGGGGGGAGAGAGTGATCAAGCAAAACTAAGACAGATCAGTTCCAGATTACAGTACAGACACCACGGAAGTACTCATTTACCGTAAAAAACATTTCATTATGACTGTTGCCTCCAGAGAAAGACCTGATATTCCAATGCTGTCACCTGAAAACACACTTTTCCCCATAATACGTAAAGCTGCCACTCCTTACGGCTAATATTACGCTCAATCCATTGGACCTGAGAGCACCCTATATTTTTCTGTAAATCTTGCAATTTGCCTGTGTCACCAGTGACCAGATACTAAATTTAATTCTGCAGAAAGGACATTTACCCAAAATAGGCTAATGGAGAGAAGCATTTAAGCTATAAGCTAGCATTTGGTTTTCTTTGACTCATCTATGGCGTGTTTTTAGGTCAATACATGAAATGTCAAGTCTGTTACGTTTGGTCCCTGTGGCTTGAACTGTGTGTAATTAGTCTGATCACATTCTCATTGATAGCTGACACTTTATTGCCCTTAATTTTACAAAACAAAAGGTCGTACACAAGGTGATAAGGAATACAAATGGAATTTATGGTATTTTTCTTATAGGATGTTTAAAATATATAGAACCAACATAGAGAAAGCAGTTACAGTGTTTAATGAAATGAGTTATTAGAATGTATGTTTCTCATGAGTCACTGGTAGTCACTGGAAAATTATTAATTTTTAAATGAATATCTGAATTACCACTATGGATCTTTTATTTCCCAAATGTGTACTTATCCAGGATTGCAGAGGCCTGGAATCAAAGTATCTTTTTTCTCCCTCATTTTTCCATTCCTTCTGGCCACAAACATTTTTGCTGTTTGAATGCTAAGATCACATACATCCCAGTCAAGAAGCCATCCCACTGCGGGTCACACACAGACACAGTCATTGATACAGAGGACGATGTAGAGCTACCGATTTACCTGCAACTTCATGGCTCGTGAGAAGAGCTTGAGGAGAACTTGTACACTTTGCACATACAGAGAGCTGGTTTCCAGATTTGAAACTGCAGACCCTAAAGGTGAGAGATCGTGATGCAATCCCACCAAGTCACCGTGAAATGTTCGATTGATAAGAATCATGTAAACAGTTCATTTGTTGTGTATTTTTTTAAGCGTTTTAGAACTGATTTCTACAATGGTGTTACCTGATCTATAATAAATAGACCCCTTGCTTATTCAACAGCAAAGTGTGCTGATTAAAACACTTTGTTCTACAAATTCACAATGAGAACATTCTCATAAATAATATTCAAATGGCATTCCCTTAAAATCAAACTGAGACTGATTGCATGATTGATTACACAATTCTGCTGGTTATAAACAAGTGTATGTGTGTTTTTATAGACATAATACTGATGTTTAGTGAAGAGTTTCTCAAGAAAGAGGTTATTCTGTAAGTCTGAATGAATATAAAACTTTATACATAAGATTATTGGTGATAGACGAATTAAAAATGATTCATAAAGAGAATTCTCGTTGCTTGAGGTCATCAAATGTTTCAAATTCAGATATGTTTTTTATCTATTGCAAGTCTTGCAAAAAACATAGCATTTATGTGTTCTGTTTCCTAATAAGAATGTTTTGTATTATTGAGATGGGCACCAATAAACTACAGTGATTTTATTTTGTGTTTGTATGTATCTATACACGCACAAAAGTGTGTGTTTTTGTACATATTTTATACATGGTGTTAGCAGAGATATGAACACGGATATGGATGTGTTATCCTACAGACAGAAACATTTCAGTGCTTTTCCATGTAAATTACAAGATCTGAGTTTCTGCTCAAAAGATATAGTGTGCGAGTAGTGTGAGAGTAGTGTGAGAGTAATGACGTTGGTTTGGTGGGATGTTAAATATGTAAATTGAATTGCAGTGGTTGCAGGGCAGCGGATCTTAGCTTTTCTGCAGTGTATCAATATTACTCCCAATGTTATACATGAACTCCTACTACAATGGAGGGAGAAAGTGTTTTAACAGTGTTTTAAAAGCTAATGGCATTGATATTTAAAGTCAAAACTGTGTTGTGTTCTTTTCAATGCACTCTCATCTTTTTTCCTACTGTATGGTACTCATTCATTCATTCATTTATTCATTCATTCGTCTTTTCATTCTCTCTTTTTTATTATTCTAATTTTGTATTTCCAGTACATTCTCGGCACTACAGGGGTAATTCTGTTCTGTACTGTAAAGTATAATACAATTGTGTTGTAAGTCTGAAAAGACTGTATATCGTTTTTGTAAATAAAGGTGGAGAAAGTAATATGTATGTTTCTGTAGTCGTCACATATTTTCATTAACACTAGGATCTAACGGTTAACTAGCAAAAATAAACATTATAAAAATAACAGCTGAATACAAAGTACTTTTTGTACATCATATTACAAGTTCAATATCCATCTATAGACACCAAAAATGTCTAAAATATCTAACTTTTAAATATATCAGAATATTTTACTTTAATTTCTGCACCTCAGTTTTGATTGCATTTCTGAAATTACATTTCTTAAAGGGCCTGAACATAGTTTTTTCCAATTGTACGACCAATTGTTGTGCAGGCTTTCTTGATTAAGCAATATAGGTTTTGTGCCATTGATCTGGACTGTTGTCAAACGCAATGAAGTATTGATTCTGCAGGAAAAAATATACACAAGGCAATGTTACTTTAATTTTTAATATATCTGACAGCAAACAATTTTCTGTTTGGCTGCCTATGTTTTTTGCTCTACTCTATTTTTTTTTTTACTCCACAAATAAATAAAAGAGCAAACGAACGCCTCACCTTCCCCAACATTAAACAGCATTATAATTTGCCAGGACTCAGGCAAGAGAATTGACCCCTTTAGTATGAATGTTCTGACATTCTTCCGCTTGTGGTATTTCCACTAAAATGTTCAGTCTAGGGGCTGGACTTCGCAGAAGTTCGACAGAAGACTGCATTACTCAACTGGTAAAGGAGGGTAGCTGCGGAAACATCAAACAATTTTTTGATTTATTAGTTTCAGATTCATTCATTTTTAATAGCTTGATTAGTAGTTTAACAAGCCAAGTTGTAGTACATATAAAAATATATTGAAATATACAGGGCAGAGCTCTGAAATAATTAAAATCAGATCAGAGTGGTATGTATCTGCAGCTTGTCATTTCACTGTGTTGTCTAATTTATCTTGACATTTTTGGAATAGCTGTCCTGTAGAAAAATGAGACAGGCTGATTATTTTGTACAGATACTGTTTAATTAGTTCCTAATTATATAAGTAACCATATGTGACTATTCTGATTATTAAATAATCAGGGCACAATGAGCCAGACTGATGAAGTGCACCTTGACAACCTAGATGAAAATAATCATGGTTGACAATACTTTTATTATACAAAATTACCATTTATAAATTTGTTGTATTTTTAAGAATAAAAATAAATATACACAATGTATGAATCCTCAGCTTCAAACATTTCTCCTTTTTTCAGTAAAAATACTACCTCAGTACGACACTTACTATTTACAATGTAAATGTATGAAAACGCAATAAATAATGCAATTGACACATACTAGCAGTGTGGCACAAGGCATTCTGTGAGCTGAATGATTAGTCTTCACTGTGCAGCTCTCCGGCATCACATTGCCTCTTCCAGACCCACCAGGTCGGGCCGGAGCCATCTCTGTAGCCGCTGTGTCACAGTCCTTGACGTACCTTCCACCAATGGAGCTTCGCCATCCTCAACCGTTGCAGGGTGGTCAGGTCGGGCCAGAGGGCAGCATGGTGCCTGTCAGTCCCTGTGCAGCCTTTCATGGTGATTAAACCACCAGCCCCTCACGTTGGGAGTGGTGTGGGGTGCTGCATATCTTCACAATACCCAGCTGCTTGCAGAACATGCCAAACACCAAAAGTTCTGCTCCTGGTTGTTGTGTTGTTCTTCTGGCACGCTGAAGCAGCAGATGAACTCTGCAGCTGTGATTGCCCTGCCTGGTCAGGAATCGTGGATGCCCCGGGCCACTTGCTGAAGTAGCCCACAGCTATGAGCATGCATGGATTCTTGGGGCTGCTACAGGGAAGTTGACCCAGGATGTCCACCCCCCCACCATCAGTACCCCTACCCAGTGTGGCTGCATTGGTGCTCCGGACTGGCTGCCTGGACCCTTTCAGTTGGTGCAGGCATCTTAGCCGTGCATGAGCAGTTCTGTGTCTTGACTGCAGCCATAACAAATAGAAGCTCAATGCAGTTTCCACAAAGTTTTTGCCACTCCAACTCCATTCTGCCGTCCACCACCCTCAGCACTGTGGGGTGGTGGCTGTTGCGCTCTTCAAAACCCCCCCCACTGTCTCCTATTTGAGACAGAGCTTCACGGGGTGGGCCAGGATCTTTCCGGACTCTGCTGCCACACCCTTTACTGTCTTTACTGTCCAGACCTGCGGCATCGCATCGCGTCCACCTGACCCACCAGAGAGGTCCGGCCCAGGAACCTTTGTACTAGATCCATCGGGTCACCCCAGGAAGACACAATGCTCGGTTTCCCTCTCGTTCCCTGCTGCTTCCTCCCGGAACCGTCTTGACACTCAGAAGTTGTTGGATCAGGTCACTTCATTGGCAACCTGGGATCCTGCTGCTGACATCAGAGATCAAAATAAAATAATAAAACAATGTTTGACAAAGGACAGTGAAATAGACACAGAAATCTAAGTATTTTGCAGTTGAACTGGGATACCAGCCATAATCCTGCAGTAACACTGACGAACAGAGATGTGGGTGTTAGCTGCTAATATGCTTATGATAATTTCTGTTTGTAAGGAGTCTTGCCATTAGCAATGCTGCAGCACAAGGTTTGTGAAGTTCTGCACAGGGGTTAGGAGCCGCTAAATGGCATCAGGCTGAGTCAAGTTCTCCAGCAGCAAATTTCAGTGTCAATGCAACAGCACTGTTCCATTTTCTTAACTCGATAGTGTTATTTTTTTCCATATCAATTACGCCTATAGCTGAAAGTGTCCTTTTCCAAAATTTTCCACACTGAGTCTACAAAATTAAAAATAATCAAGTTTTACAAACATGCTTGCCATTTTTCTTCAAAGGATGTTTGAGTATTTCTTAATTCTGCAGCAGATATAAATGAAAGATGAAACAGACGGCATGTAGACATATGGGCTGTGGGCTGCATTGGTTTTTACTTGAACAGACTGTTGAGTCTCCCCATCTTGCAGTCATTGTGATATCTATTGGGAACATTCAGTGGCCTTAGACAAACCACTAGACAGGTTGGCACCGAAATTCCCTTTTTTTAAGAAACACATTGACCTCTGTAAAAGCCTACCCAAATGGCAAACATGGCAGTCCCATTTTGCAGGGATGACTTAGCACAAAGTGACCATTAATCAGCGGTGGTAGTATTGTTAGACTGCATTATCGCAGTTGAAAAGCAACATAAGACAATGGGATTTTTGGCACAAGAATGTGATGCCTACTTTAGATAAAGTGTCTGTTCAAATAGGTAGGAGAGACAATGCTTGCATCATGGATTATGTTTCTAAACAGTTATTCTTTTCCTTTACACAGTGTGTGGATCTTTTGTGTTTTGTATCATACTTTAACAGTACTGATCTTAGTTTGTCAACATTGTTAAATTTATTGTGATTGTCAAGATTATACTGCCATAAATTTTACATACATTATTTTTTGCTACTTTTTCTAAAGGCTTGGAAATATTTAATGTGGCTGTCTAGTCATTGTAGTTAATTGTGGTTTGGCCTCTGAAGACTCCACAGTAATGAGTAGGTAGTGCTCATTTTACAGTACAGTCATTACTGACATGTTTAATTGAACTGAACTCTAAAGACAAAAAAAAAAAACAAAAGAAAATTACAAACATCTTAAGTCCATTTGCATCTCTGTTAACAGAGCAGCATTATTACTCCGTTTGACCTCAGATTAAACAGACGCAAGGTGAATCTTAACTATCTGCCACATTAGAGCTGCGGCAGCCATGTTTATTGTTGTTTGTTGCTTTTGTCAGGGAGTCTTTAAAAGAATCTTAATTGTTTTGTTCTCTGATGAGTATTCTGTGCATAAAGTGCAGAAACCTTCACAAGGGAAGTAACAAAAAAAGAACAAATGTTCTTCTCTGAGTTGGCCTGCAGAAACTAACTTAAGACCAGCGTTATGCTTTCAGGATACTACATGTCAAGTGAAACTCTGCCCTGATTATAAGGACATAAAGAAGTTTCATATTAATATGAGGATACATTTTTAAAAAGTGAAAAGTTACACTGCAGTTAGTGTGAGAGCTCTGCTTGGAGACGATGGCCATTAAAGGCTGACTTTGTTACTGGCTTTCTCATATTTATTAGAATTGATTTGTGATCCTACTGCAGAAACTTATAGGCACGTTTTTGTTATTTTTTAACTTGTAAATTGAATATCTGAAAATTGCATTACTGGGAATATTGGTGCAGATGTATCCTAGGAAATTGTTTTTGTTATTTTGACCACCTTTCCAGTTTGTTGAAGAATAAGCATGAGTAGGTGTCTATTCTGAGTTTGCCATTACTAGAGCACTCTAAAACAATTTCCTGCTATTACAGATAACAGCTTTTGTGCGTGATTTTAGATATCTTTTGTATAGGAAATTAAGTTAATTTTGGGACTTGAGAAACTGATAAAAAAAGAATAAACATGTATAGAAAGGCTGTTCATTATTATATAACTATAACTATTAATATTTTTACATTTTATGAGCCAGTAATAATGATAGTTCCTAGTAATAATTGTCTGATATAGAATTGGCAAGAAAGAGGTTTGGTGAGGGAGAAGGTGCCATTGGTTAATATTAAGTGATAATCTTGTACAGGGAAATTATACAGATTATATTTAATGGCAGGGTTTGAAATGGAATTAGTATTCCATGTAATAATTGTATTTAAAAATATGCTAGTTTTTAAAAATACTGTTTTTAAACTACGTGTTATAGAAAACTGCTACCATTAACTCTTTAAGAGGCACTTAATTTAATGCCCATTGAAATGTATGCACTATATAACAGTGCAAAGCAAATGTAAAGCATAGATCTTAACATTATAAGACAGGTGTTAGAGGTGTTCCGGGACATGCTCAGGGCAGGATGTGAGATAAGACTGGGAGTGCTTTTATTTTGAAATGGGAGAGGAGACAGTTTTAAGAAAAAGGTTGAGAGGAACCAAAACAAAAGAGAGCCATTTTGGTGACAACAAAAGGCATGTCCGGTTCTTTGAAGGGGCTACAACAGGGTGAAAGCTCAGG